ACTAAAATCAGTATAATTTGCCGAATTTATACCTTACAAGTCTCTTAATCTTTAGAACCTTATAAATAGGGTTACTATGATTTAGAATTTAGTATCGGATATCTAAACATAAGTTGAATCACGCATGACTGACCCAAACCGTCCGTCGCCAGTTGGCCTTGGTCCCAAGAACCAAGTTTTAAGTTTTATAGGACGCTAGTCCGGTTCATTCGAAGGGTGAGGATGAAGATGATGATTTTTCTTACTTTTGCTTGTGTTTGTTTGAGCCCAGAGTGTTTTTTATGCAGATCCAAGGCCTGGTTTTTCAAACCTCAAGTGCCCTCTGATTTCGCTTGACAAGCGTACAAAACTTTGAGATAGTCTATTCGTGATTCATTCATTTTTAAGCAATGAACGACGACATTTAGAGCATGTATGGTTTACCTCGTTTTTTTAAATTATGTTACAAGACTTTTAATTTTGCAGGAAACTTTGAGGGAAGAGGTTCTTTAATTGGCCTCACGATAAACCGATGGAGGATTGACTCTCCGTTGGGACCGTTGCTGTGAGTAAAAATGTCCTCTATTCATCCGTATTAAGATGTCATCAACAGTTAAACCGAGATCATACAACATATGAGGAAACAGATATTCTGCATGATTATGCTTCTAAATGCTTTGAGAGGCAAGGTTAAGTGAACTTTAATGTCGCCGTGGTGACTACTCTTATCGGCATTATGAAATCGTCTATTTTTGAACATAGAGCGGCTTTGTATCTGTTCAAGAAAACACATATTTTAGCCACATCTACACATCTACGTGCATATTGAGAGAAGCAGAAAATAGAAATCAGTTTCTATCTCGGCCACTTTATGAATCTATTTCAGCCAATTTTTAAATGAACTCTATTGTTTTCTTCACATAGCAACACTACAATTTGATTATGCCTTAATTATAAACTGACCATTGTGGGTTGTTCTTTCTCTCTGTGCCTATGATAATCGCCTTGATGCCAGAGACACATTAGAGTACAACTGACTAATTCCTAACTCTCATGTGCAAGTGTCCTCTTGCAGTTATTAGTCATTACACCCTGATGCAGACGCACAAGAGATGACGGAAATGAGGCGAGACGTCGCTTTGCAGAACTGAGTTTAGAAGAATTCCTTGGTCATTCATTGTGACATGACTTTCGAATTAAAAGAAAAATGTGCTCGAAGGAATTCACGAAACGGTCGCACCGGAAACCGAAGGAGGATTGCTGCGTAGTGAGGAATGTTGGATTGTGCGAAAAAGTCCTCGATCACGGTTCTGCGGCCCCAATGAACTGGCGCTCAGCTTTCGTCTGTACCTTCGTGACGGACATCATCATCAAAGCAGGAATTGAGACTTTACGAATTAGCGCAAAAAATATACCAAACCAAGAGTGAAGGTGGCCGACTGCAATCCTAGTCACTTTTTATACCTTTCCTTGCGATCATGATGGAGACTGCAGCCGGCCACTTGTTCTCTTTGTTCAATATCTTTGTTGCACTGTTCCCTAAAATGTGGCTTCTTGCCTTGATGATGTCCGTCACGGAGGCACAGACGGAGGGTCGCAGAGCGGTGAGCCGAGGACTTATTGGCACAATCCAGACCATTTAATGAATTCCTTTTAAAAAACTTTTTCTTCGAAACGTAAAAAGCATATTAGAAGCAAAATGGCGTTACAACTTTAGATCGACCCCCTTTTGATCCTCACAAATCCACCCTTCGCGTTAACAGGCCAAAGGTCGTGTGAAAGTGTCGACGAGTCACTAACTCTTCTTTCAACCCCTCCCTCTATCCAATTTTCCCCACTCGGCTCACACACCTACCCACCCCCACGCATGCATACGGAATCTTCTAACGTTCACTGCTCGACTCGTCGTCAGGCCGACGTGAATGCCACTCTGGAGCCAGAGGCTGCGCTTGCGGTGACCGCCATGTGAGTCAATGGGCCCTGGAAACCGTTTTCCATGTAGGCTTGACCCCTCAAGGGCGAGTGTCGGGATTGCTTGGAATGGACAAAACAAGCTAGTCTACTTTTAGGGCTTACATGTTGTCGTATTGACAAGGAAAGAATGAATTGATGAATTAGGGGAGAAGAGGCGAGGAAAACAAGTGAAAAGGCACCGTTTCTGGGCTACGTGTAAATTACAAGTACGACCAGAAGACGCTGCCATGTGAAAATCGCCTCCAGTAGGTAGGAGGGAAAGCAGTCGAGGCCACTTTTTTCATACTTATCTGAAGACGGATACTACTGAATTGCTTTCTAGTATTTAACAAAAATAAATAGTTGACATAAGAGTTCTAGTAAACCTAGGTCGGATAGGGTTTTCGTTAGATTTTTCCAAAATTATGTCAACTTCAATAGGCTCATTCACATAATTGTGGGAAA